AAGAACCATTCAGTCAAAGGTTCTTTAAAGAACCATCTCTTTCTTACCTTTTTATAATCTGAAGAACCTTCTTTCGCCACAAAGAACCTTTTGTGAAACAGAAAGGTTCTTCAGATGTTAAAGGTTCTTTATGGAACCATTTAGACAAAAAGGTTCTTCCATGGCATCGTGAAGCACCTTTATTTTTAAGAGTGAAAGATGTGCAAGTCATTTTGATCTTTGGCATTTAAGCTTTGCAGAGCTAGTATAATAATATGATAATTATTCAACAATATGCTGAGCAGTTCACACCTTACTGGAAATGTTGATGCAATGTAAATAGGAATAAAAAGTATTTGGTCTCAAGGAATGATTCATCAAGATGTGAAGATTTCTCATGACTCCTAATTTATTCACAAATTACCTTTTAATGTGACCTTAGCTTTATCAAAACCATTTTATCATGTGGTCACTGATTTAGTTGTGTTCAAACATTCAAAACCTTTCTCGGTCAGAGAAAAAATGTACTTCATACAATTTCATCTCAATACTTTATAACTAATGCACTCTTCATGGCTATTATTTTCAATTCCCTAAAGTTAAATTGGATTTAGTCCAGGATGTGTTGTTTTGACTTCAACAGAAAAGTATTTTGACTAAAAGACGAACAGTGGAAAGCAATCAGAGGTTGCATTGACCTTCACAATGCAATGGCATAACATTTTCCTTCTTCAGATGCATATTAATCTCTTAATTAGGTTAATTATTAGTTACTAATTATTAATTAGGTACTATAGTGAGCAAAAACATATCATAAGCAATAAACTGATACACAAGGTCAAAATGTAGACAATAGTAATGTCTATTTACTCATTTTGTTTCTGCTTTATTTATTGGAATATATACAACAATATAGCTCGTGAGGTTAGTGTGGCTGTTTTCTTGTAGGCTATATTAGCTTTGTAACAGATCACATCTCTGAGTGAATTACCTTCTTCTTAACAAATTACACTTGAATTAAGTTAGAAATATTTGGCTTCATGGCTATTATTTTCAATTCCCTAAAGTTAAATTGGATTTAGTCCAGGATGTGTTGTTTTGACTTCAACAGAAAAGTATTTTGACTAAAAGACGAACAGTGGTAAGCAATCAGAGGTTGCATTGACCTTCACAATGCAATGGCATAACATTTTCCTTCTTCAGATGCATATTAATCTCTTAATTAGGTTAATTATTAGTTACTAATTATTAATTAGGTACTATAGTGAGCAAAAACATATCATAAGCAATAAACTGATACACAAGGTTAAAATGTAGACAATAGTAATGTCTATTTACTCATTTTGTTTCTGCTTTATTTATCGGAATATATACAACAATATAGCTCGTGAGGTTAGTGTGGCTGTTTTCTTGTAGGCTATATTAGCTTTGTAACAGATCACATCTCTGAGTGAATTACCTTCTTCTTAACAAATTACACTTGAATTAAGTTAAAGAAATATTTGAATGTCTATTGAAAAAGACAGGACATTCTAACCATACCTCACAGACAGAGCCTGTTAAACCTGAGGCTCCACCCACCCGCTCTGTCACATACCGTACCATGTGTTTCCACATCACTACAACTTTAAGGAGAGGGACATTCCTGATCTTTTCTGCAGGAAATCACATGGAGGTGCCATCGCACTCACATGACATCTGAACTATGGCAGCGGACATCAATGAAGGTAAGGAATACAAATTACAGCCATTCAAAGCGAAATATCGCACAGTTGCAGATGATGTTTTGCTGGGTGGTTTTATTTTAAATATGGATTTATTTATTTAAATTTTGTACTGGCAGTTGTCTGCGAATTAGTTTTCTTGACTTCTAAAATGTCTCTGATGGTGTTTTAAAAAACCGAGAGAGTCACTTTAACGCGAGTTAAGCACTTTACGTTGTTGTCTTGCATAAATGTTTGCTTTTATTTGTTGTTTCACTGGTTTCACTTGTTTAGTAACTATGCATTACCGGTTAATTCAAGTTTTCCAGACTGACAACTCAGATAGTTGCTCATTTAAAACTGATATGTCCATATAATGCTATAGCCTGGCGATTTTAAATCTTTGTTTGACAATATTTGATCGATTTGTGAAGGCGTTAAAGCCGAATGGTTTATCACATTGATTATTGATTATAAAGACTGTCAACTGGTGCGAAAGTCTGATTTAAACCAATCAAATAATTTTCTCTGCGATTATATTTCGTCCTGACGCCACTGGATTCGAATAAGAACTCAAAAGCCAGTTTTATTCACTTCCAAACTGCTCTTGAAATGTATGTTGAATCTATAAAATAAAAAAAACAAGCCCCTCAAAAACTTGAATTCAATGGCATTTGTTCGGATTTAATGTTGCTTTTATTTAGTTCTGTTGTGTTTCCATTTGTATCAGACATACACTGTGTCGAACGTCTTGAGAACGTACTGAACTCTTCAATAGAAAAAGAAAAGATTATTTCATTGTGTTCGCTATGCAATACAGTAACACAATTAAAATGTTCCCAGTCACCTCTTCCAAGTCAATTAATTTGGTATGTCAACATAAAGCTCTTAACATCCGGTCTTTTGACTGTAGGATCTGTCCCTTCATACTATCGTGAAGTACATCAAGCCATCTGCTCCAGAACTGATGAAAGAGTGCCTATCGGTGTATTCCAGAGAGTTCTCAGCAGAACATCTCTCTCCACTTCTGTTCAAAACCAGGTGAGACTTGCACTAGGATTACATGTCATTATTGGCTAGAAAGACTGTAGCTGATAGTTAGCTAAATTACATCCCATGTGCTGTTTAATGACATTATTTATGGTTGGAAATGGAAATGTTATGGTTTGGGTTTTCTTGTGGAACCATGGCTTATTCTGCACAGGCTGAAATGCAACTCATCTACGTTTTAGATAGCCGAACATGTAAACAATGGTGATGGATTCCTGAGTAAAGTCTCGCTGTATAAAGGCTTGGCTCTCATTGCCCTTGCTCAACAAGGAAAACCACCAAGTCCCAAACTGCTAGAGAATTTCATACAAGGTAAGCATAAGCATATCTATTCCTCAGCTGACTGTAGTAAAGTAACCCCAGTTAAGTCCCCATAAAAAACGGTCTTTTATTCAAGATGCCATGTGATATTATATTGCCTCTTACATGCTGTCCCAACTGAATTACATTCAAGCTGCATTTCAGCGTCACCATCTGTTTGCAGTGATTTGCACACTTTTTTTCAACATTTCTAAGGGAAATCTTTGAATCTTAAGTAGTTCTGTTCCTGTTTTATACAGTATGTATGTATTATTTACATTCCTCAGGTCTACAATTGTTCTGGGCTGGTTGTGCGATGGTGTTTGAGTGTTTTTTTATCATCACATATGATTTATATAAGAGCTCTGAAGAGTTAAAGTTTCTATTCAACAGGCCTCTTGTGTTATTTCAGGTGTTGCCAGTATGACAGTTGACTGTGCACTTTAATAGTGAGATTTCCTGTTTTCTCCTCTAAGCAAGACCAAGTTTCCTGTCAACTGCATGCCAAATGCATATCTCTCTGTGGAATGACCAATACATTTTTTTTTTTTTTGCATTCCACCAAACAAAAGCAAAGATCCTGGGTTGAATCTGCTGCTGCTTTTTGCTGAGTCAAGCAGTTTTTCCCATTTTCCAGATTTTCCATTCTAAATTTGACACACAAACCACAGAAATTCACAGAAAAAAACCACTGTGTGCCGCACAGCTCAACATTGTTTATTGTTTTTCTTTCATTCTTTGTCATTCCTTGTGACCTTTCTGTAATACTGTGTTATTTATGTGCTGTCACAAGACTCTCATGGAACAGAGATAGAAAGAAAGCAATCTTCTTCTTTATATTATGTAAAATGATTAAGTATGATACTGTGATCACTCACGTGTAATGTATTGTCAGTTACATCTGGCTATCACACCTCTTTAAATACAGTACAGACCCTGTTATACACCATGTTTTTTAAAGAGTTCCCGAAGCCTCAGCTGGGAGAGCCAAAAGAGCTTCAGACTCTGAAGATGCAGTCGGTTCAGGAGAGTCCTTTGAACTTGTCTTTGACTCTGGCAGAGCTGTTAAAGAAGGACAACATCAAAGTTGAGCTCATTCCCGAGAAGAAGGGACTGTTTCTTAAACACGTGGAGTATCAGGTCACCAGTGAGGTGAGTGACTTAGGAGGCAGTATTAAAGTTCATCCCAAAAGTAAAAATGTGCTAATAATTTACCCACCATCAAGTTATCTAAGATGTAGATGAGCTTGTTTCTTCACAGAACATATTTGGAGAAATGTAGCATTACATCACTTGCTCACCAATGGATCCTCTGCAGTCTGCAGTGAATGGGTACCGTCAGAATAAGATAAAGACATCACAATAATCCACAAACCACGCCATGCTGGTTTTGTCTGGCCAGAGGAGAACTGGCCCCCCGACTGAGCCTGGTTCCTCCCAAGGTTTTTTCTCCATTTCTGTGACCGATGGAGTTTTGGTTGCTTGCCACTGTCGCCTTTGGCTTGCTTAGTTGGGGACGCTTGACTGATTGCACAGACACTATCGGAAGAGAGCTGAACTGGATTATGATGACATCACTGAATCATGAATGAACTGACTTTAGCTGATAAATGACTCTTTGTTATTGTCTTCTTGTATTATTGACAAACTATTTTCCTGTTTGACACTGTAAAGCTGCTTTGACACAGTCAGTATTGTACAAAGTTGACTTGACTTGACTTGACAAGTAATCCATCAAGGCATTTTTAACTTCAAACCGTTGCTTCAATATGTTGCTTATTCCAGTGACAAACTCATCTTGTCTGAATCAGGAGAGAAATATGCACAGATCAAGCACTGTTTACAAGCGAAAACAGCCCAAAACAGTTCTTAACAAACATATTGGTGGATTTTTGATGTGAAATAACAGAGGATGGACTTTTTCATTGGAGGAAGCGTTATTATGGATTATGGACTGGTATTTTGGCTAGAAGTGATTTAAAGTTGAACACCTTAATGAAAGATTTGTTTCTTACAAACATGCAGCTTTTCACTTGACAAGACATTAATTGAAGGACTGGAGTCGTGTGGCTTATTGTGATGTTTTTATCAGCTGTTTGCACTCTAATTCTGACGGCACCCATTCACTGTAGAGCAGGGGTGGGCAAACTTGGCCCTTCCAGGCCACTTTTCTTCAGAGTTTAGCTCCAGTCCAACCCTAATCAAACACACCTGAACCAGCTAATCATTGTCTTCAAGACTACTACACTCTTAAAAATAAAGGTGCTTCAAAAGGTTCTTCAGGCGATGCCATAGAAGAACCATTTTTGGTTCCACAAAGAACCATTCAGTCAAAGGTTCTTTAAAGAACCATCTCTTGCTTACCTTTTTATAATCTGAAGAACCCTCTTTTGCCACAAAGAACCTTTTGTGAAACAGAAAGGTTCTTCAGATGTTAAAGGTTCTTTATAGAACTATTTAGACAAAAAGGTTCTTCTATGGCATCGTGAAGCACCTTTATTTTTAAGAGTGTAGAAGGCTACAGGCAGGTGAGTTTTATCGGGGTTGGATCAAATCTCTGCAGGAAAGTGGCCTGGAAGGGCCAAGTTTGCCCATCACTGCTGTAGAGGATCCATTGCTGAGGAAGTGATGTAATGCTAAATTTCTCCAAATCCGTTGAGATGAAGAAACAAACTCAACTACATCTTGGATGGCCCGAGGGTGAGTACATTTTCAGCAAATTTTCATTTTTGAGTAAACTGTTCTTCAAAAAAAAGACCCAGTTTACAAGTTTACAGTTTTTCTGTTATTGGTCAGAAAAAAAATAGTTCCAACTCTATACACTAAACCATTAGTTGAGTCATTGTTGCTGTGTCAGGCTGGCCATGATGCACAAACAAAAAAGACTTCTCACCATATTAAGCTGAAAAAATGGCCCACTTTAGCTTTAGTGTCTGTTTCAGGTGATCCAATCACACGTGGACAGCTCAAAATATGTTCTGAGGAATCGATTTCCTTGATTGGTTGAGATAAAATAGCTTGACTTTGCAAAGACGGTGTTATAAAATGATGAGGGGCACAACAAATATTATTATAAAAAGACCTCAGGGAAAAAAAAAAAAATTTAAAAGTAATAATATCTATTTTTTTATATAAAAGATAATCATAAAAAAGTATTGTCTCTTCAGTGCTAAATTGTACAAAAAGACATTCAGTTGAGTTGCTACTGAGTCATTGCAACAGTTACAGTTGTAATATTTAAACATATCACTGATGGTTTATTTACTATGTGCCCTTTTGCAGCGTTTTACAGTATCAGTCTATCGGCGATACAATGATTTTGACATCTTCCATGAGCTTCTGCTTCAGAGATATGCTTACAGAGTTGTGCCGGCGCTTCCTCCCAAAAGGGTGCTGAAAGGAGGTAAGGCGTTGATTTATTCATTGTAAAATCTCAGCCTGTGAAAGGTTTGTAATCAAACCTGTAGATTATAGTCTTGTGCATTTCTCACTTAGACTGTGCTGTGACATTCAATACTTTCTGGGAATGCACCAGACTAACAATTGCAGCTCTGCCAAAATAAAAAAAAGTAAACTTGTTCTGTTTTTCTGCAGACTTCAGCAATATGTACTTCCATAGTAACTGAGTACCAGAAAGTTCCTTGCTGTGTTTTATTAATGGAAGGACTATGTTTTGTTGTTCCTGGAAATGTTTAATCTTTTCTCTGTTCTTTGGCCCCGCTGCAGTCCTGACCTCCATGACAGAGCGAGAGTTCATTGAAGGGCGGAGACGAGCTCTGAGCAGGTTTCTGAATCTGGTGGCACGTCACCCTGTCTTTTCTGAGGATGAGCTTGTGAAAACATTCCTCACCTTCAGTGGCTCGGTGTGGATTTTTTTGCTAACCGTGTACTTGAATTTCTAGATAAACAGGATTATTTTTTTATATTTTATACTGGAAGAAAAATGCATTTAAACGTACCTTTGATATGCCAGTTCTGGCTTGAGAAAATATATATATTTTTTATATATTCTTCCTAGACATTCATGTGACCTCCAGATTTCCATATTTATGTCCCACAGGATGTCCAAACTAAGCTTAGAGATGCTTGCAAAAAACTGGGTGATGAGTTCATGACATGCAAATATGCAACGCAGGCCAAGGTTTGATTCAGTTTTATTTTACTTTACATGTTAAAATGTATGTTTATGTTCAAATGTTATAATATTCTCTTTTATTGGAATATTTGTGCAGCATTTTTATGCCAAAAATCATTAGGATATTAAGTAAAGACCATGTTCCATGAAGATATTTTGTAAATTTCCTACCGTAAATATATCAAAACTAATTTTGGACAACTTTAAAGGCGATTTTCTCAGTATTTAGAGTTTTTTGCATTTCCAGATTTTCAAATAGTTGTATCTCAGCCAAATATTGTCCTATCCTAGTAAACCATACATCAGTGGAAAGCTTATTTATTCAGCTATGTATAAATCACAATTTCAACTTTTACCCTTATGACTGGTTTTGTGGTCCAGGGTCACATTTAATAATTAATATTGCTTGTCTGTATTGTGATTTCTCCTGCAGGATTACCTCCCAGTGGATGTCCAAAGTCAATTTTCATCTAGCAGAGAGCTCATCAGAAATATCCATAACAGTTTTCAGAAATTACGGGACAGGGCAGAGAGGATGGCCGAGCGCTCTAAGGAGAATGCCACAGATCTGCTGATGTTTGGGAAGGAGCTCAGGTACCACATCATCCTGAGTGCTGTTTCTGAATCTCTGCGGTATCTCTTAAACCAGTGGTTCTTAACCATGGGTCTGAGGTCCACCTCCAAGGGCAAACTTCCAAGGGGGCCTCAAATGTTTTAAAATAAGTCAAAGCAAGCCTTTAAACAACTAAATCAAGTTATTTCTTAATTTAATTGACCCCTAAACCTCTTGACTTTTTAATGACAATTATGTCAGTAGTTACTTATTTTAATCTATGTACACTCTTAATTTCTATAATTTAAAAAATGTTGAGAACCACTGTCTTAGACATATAGAAAGACGGGTGGGGGGGAGAGAACGTTCAAAACATAAAGGCAGCTGTACATTTTTATTTATAAAATTCTATATTTTATTTATAAAAACAGTTATTGGCTGACCATTATTTCCTACCCACCAGTACTGTTAGATGCATAAATAAATAATTACACAGCTGAGATGTTTTTTCTATATGTTTTTGTCCATTTAGGAAATAAACTGAATTATAACTATATGGGGAAAAATTTCATAATGTTTAAAATATAAAGGCAGCTGTAGATGTTTATCTATAAAAAATATTATGCTTATGTGCCAACCACTGTTATACAAATAAATAATGTGATTAAAATCATGTATTTATTTTATACTTTTTTTTAAAAAACTTTTTTACACATAATTTTGTCTACCCACCAGCAGTGTTGATGATTTAAATAATTATATTAATCACATTATTTATTTATACATATACTTATTTATTTTATACTACTTCTATTTTTTCTTAACTACACCTATCACCCCTTACAGCAAAATAAATAAATGCATACAACCTTCAAAGTGATACAAGTCTACAAATCAACCTGTGGGGGTTTATTTTTTGATGGTGACTGTTTGACTGTATGTTATTTCTTATGCACAATGGTACAGTACAGTAACATTAACTGTTTGAGTAGGTGGGCATACCAGATTTTTTCAGTGGTTTGAGAGAGCCTGATTGTCAGATGTTTATGGCTACCTGCCATAGATTTCAGCTTTGTTCTCTCTCCGCTCCAGCTCTTTGGGATCAGATGAGTCACCTGTGCCTATCCTGGCATCCTGCAAGAGTCCTTGGGCTGCACTCAGACGCTCTGTCAAAGGGCTTTCTGTTGAGTTCTCACTTCTGTCTGAAAAAGCTGCCCAACAGGTACTGTGCCGCCCACACATACCATGTGAACTGGCTGCGTGCTGCTACAGAGGAATTAAATTTTTCTTTAATACAGGGCAGAAGAGAGGAGGATGATGTGGTGGAAAAACTAAATCTGTTCTTGGACTTGCTGCAGTCATACAGGGTGAGTATTGACGTGCTTTAACAATTAGCTACATCATTATGTTTTGTCCATTTAGAGGCAATAAACTGAAATATGACTTTGAGGGTGGTTAAAATATTATACAGTAAATACTCTACCAGTCAAAAGAACTGTTATTGTTAATAGTAAATGTTTCTAGAGCATCAAATCAGCCTATTAGAATGATTTCTGAAGAATCATGTGACACTGAAGACTGGAGTAATTATGCTGAAAATTCAGTTTTAACATCACAGGAATAAATTAAGAAAGCAGTTATTTTAAATCGCAATAATATTTCACAGTATTACTGTTTTTATTGTATTTTTGATCAAATAAATACAGCCTTGGTGAGCATAAGAGACTTCTTTGAAAAGCATTACCGTGAGATACTTATTTGAAAAACATTCAAAATTATATTATTACAAACATTTGACTGGTATTTTTTTCTGAATTTTTCAGAAGTCTTCGAATATAGCAAACGAGTTGTAATTGAGCTGTTTTCATCCACTGTTTATCTAGCTGTAATAAGCTGATTTGCCTTTTGCTTTTTTTCGTGGAGAGAGAACAGGAAATAAAGGGGAGACAGAGGAGTAACAGAATTGGCATGTGTTGCAAGCTGAATTCAAACCTGTGTTACCCACATGAGCACCAAAGCTCAATGTACATATAAGTTACAACTAAGCCATGGCACAGACGATTTTTTTATGAGTGTGTATGTGTGGGTGTCATACAGGACTTGTGTGAACGGCATGAGAAAGGGGTCTTGCATGAGCACCATCGAGCGCTGCAGAAGTATGGTGTCATGAAAAGACAAATGCTGAGTGCCACGGTGAAGCCTAAAGAACAGGTTTCTGTCGAACAGCTGGAGTCCCGCATCGTCCAGGTCAGCCCTCTCACACACACACACACACACACACTAAAAGGAGCTGCAGCATTCAGAGGGGAAATGTGGGGGCCAGTAGCTTGAAGGGCGCTGATACATACTTTTAATTTAGTAGGTGAAATTGATCTGAAGGGCTTGAAACCAAAGCCCTTGAGCAAGATTTGCATCCTCAAAATCTCTCTGGGGATGTCGCAGGCATCTAAACTAAGATCTTTGCCTCTTTAGAGAGATAGTAGAAGGCCTCTTTTTTTATCTTGTTTAGGCCATGGGGTTTTAAACTGAGTATGGTGTCATGAAAAGACAAATGCTGAGTGCCACGGTGAAGCCTAAAGAACAGGTTTCTGTCGAACAGCTGGAGTCCCGCATCGTCCAGGTCAGCCCTCTCACACACACACACACACACACACACTAAAAGGAGCTGCAGCATTCAGAGGGGAAATGTGGGGGCCAGTAGCATGAAGGGCGCTGATACATACTTTTAATTTAGTAGGTGAAATTGATCTGAAGGGCTTGAAACCAAAGCCCTTGAGCAAGATTTGCATCCTCAAAATCTCTGGGGATGTCGCAGGCATCTAAACTAAGATCTTTGCCTCTTTAGAGAGATAGTAGAAGGCCTCTTTTTTTTTATCTTGTTTAGGCCATGGGGTTTTAAACTGGGGTCTAGAGAGGCTGCAAAGAAGGTTTGTGAAAGATTTGAGTTTGAGAGAAAAAAAACATTGTAAAATTGTAAAAACACATTGTACATTTTTTTTTAATAGATGTCAAAATTAAAATGTTAACATAACATATTAAAGGGATGGTTCACCCAAAAATGAACATTCTGTCATTAATTACTCACCCTCATGTTGTTCTAATCTCGTAAGACCTCCATTCATCTTCGGAACACAAATTAAGATATTTTTGATGAAATGTGAGAGCTCTCAGACCCTGCATAGACAGCAACGCAACTGTAATGTTCCCAAGTCCAGAAAAGTAGCAAGGACATCGGTAAAACAGTCCATGTGACATCAGTGGCTCAACTTCAGTTTTGCGAAGCTACGAGAATACTTTTTGAGCGCAAAGAAAACAAAAATAACAATTTATTTAACAATTCTTCTCCCCCGAGTTACGTCTTCTGCCATTTTAGAGTATCACAACACATACGCACGCTTTCCCCTAAGCATAAACTACGCCGATTACGTTCATGTGCGCACTTTCTCCTCCGAACGTAAACAGCGCTGTGGCTGATTACGTCGCTTACGCTCTTGGGTACTCTCCAAAATGGTGGAAGACGTAACTCGGGGGAGAAGAATTGTTAAATAAATTGTTATTTTTGTTTTCTTTGCACTCAAAGTATTCTCGTAGCTTCGCAAAAAAACTGAAGTTGAGCCACTGATGTCACATGGACTGTTTTACCAATGTCCTTGCTACGTTTCTGGACTTGGGAACATTACAGTTGCGTTGCTGTCTCTGCAGGATCTGAGAGCTCTCACATTTCATCAAAAATATCTTAAATTGTGTTCCGAAGATGAACGGAGGTCTTACGGGTTTGAAACGACATGAGGGTGAGTAATTAATGACAGAATGTTCATTTTGGGGTAAACTAACCCTTTAATTAAGTATTTAACAGAATTGGATTTTAATGGTAATACACTACCATTCAAAAATTTGGACTGAGTAAGATTTTTATTTATTTATTGACACTTTTATTCAGCAAGGATGAAGTAAATTGATCAAAAGTGACAGTAAAGACTGATAATGTTACAAACGATTTTTCATGTGACACCGAAGACTGGCGTAACGACTGCTGAAAATTCAGCTTTGCCATCACAGGAATAAATTACATTTAACATAGATGTTATTTTAAATTGTTATAATATTTTACAATATTACTGTTTTACTACAGTTTTGATACAACCTAGGTGAGCATAAGAGACTTCTTTCAAAAACATTGAAAAATATTACTGAAATAGGAGTTAATAACACTTGTGCGCTAATGTACTTTCATTGTATCACTAGCACTGAGAATATTTTATAACCCACCAAGTAATTCCCAGCAACTCATTTCATTTTATGTCTATAAAATTTACTTTGGTTTTGTTGTTTACTGACCAAACTTGCATATAAGCACTTAATTGATCATTTGAGCAGCCATTTTGTACATTCATTTTTTTTTATCATCTAAGAATTTGATTTATCAATTGCATTTTGTTAGAAAAAAAAAATCATAAAGGCCCCAGCCAGGTGGAGAACAAGAGAAACATGCTTGATTGATATTGATGCAATGCCAAATCATGTGAGGCACACACAATATCTGTCTAACCTTCAAATAGCATGTCATGATCCAGTGGTTTTTAACTGCTGGGTGGCTCATCGTGTAATGATAATGATGATGAAGGAGGTTAGGGTGGGAAGACGTGACCGCACTGTGACCTCACTCTGATCTCTTACTCACGACAGCAAGAAAACGCCATTCAGGCCATGGAGCTGCGCAACTACTTCTCCCTGTTCTGCCTGCACCAGGAGAGCCAGCTCATATTTACATACCTGCCCATTACGTCTCACATCCTGGGGGCATTTGTAGACTCGCAGGTGCAGGGACATAAAGAGGTAAGCTTACCATAAGCTTATCTAGTATCTCTGTGTTAACGCTATTCATTTTAATGTGTGCCAAAGTTAGTTTTATTACTTTGATCCTAACAAAGCCTTCTAATATTTGTTGTTGCGTCTTATGTTGCTCTGATCTAGATGGGTGAGGTGTGGCAAGATCTTCATTCCAAGCTTAAAAGTCTTTTTGGGGACGGTAACGGACAGTCTCCGCCTCTCAGCCCAAAATAGCCTCCCTTCTGTGCTTTCATGATCTCCAGTCTGTTTTGAATAGCAGGAACTACAGACTGTCAGTATTCTTTCTTGCAAAGAGTTATGGGGAACTGCTTCTGTGTAAATGTGTTATGTGGCAGTTCTTAAAATCTGTCTGTCGGAGGTGAAAAGGGCCCTTAAATTCCTACAGTTTGAACAAACTGACACCTAAAATAAACGGCTAATGTTGTTGAGAATAATTTTAGGAAATGCAACAAGATGCTACAACACTGTATTAATGTTTAATCTACACGTATGCAAAGCTGATGTTGTTGTTTTAAAACACAAGCTAATCTGAAAAAGACATTTTTACATTGTAAAATAAGTGTAAACACATGAAAGATGACCTATATTTACTATTTTAGTGCAATATAAAGAAATGAACTGAGAAGCTAATAGCCAGTGAGCAAGAGCAGTGGTCAGTTGAATACACTTAGCAAACATGGGAAATATGCAAAAATTGTTATTTGATGCAAAGGTATCTTATTCTTCCTTGTTCATGGTTTCAACTGACAGATTCGTTTTTTCTGTCAGTCTGATTGTATGCCGTCTATTTTCGAATCTTCAGACTTGTACTTCTTGCAGCGTTGTTTTGTTTTCACATTTCATCTTTATTTGTAAGTAATATTCACACTACCATTCAAAAGTCTGGAGTTAGTAAGATTTTATTTTTTGAAAGAAATTCATACTTTTATTCAGCATGAAAAATTTAGCAAAAGTCACAGTGAAGACATTAGTGTTACGAAAGATTTCTATTTCAAATAAATGCTGTTCTTTTGTACTTCCTGTTCATCAAAGAATCCTGAAAAAAAATGCATCATGGTTTCCACAAAAATATTAATCAGCACAGCTGTTTTCAACACTGACAAGAACTGTTTTTTGAGCAGGAAATCAGCATATACTTGCATCCTTGCTGAGCATTACCGTGAGGTATTCAAACTTTTGAACAGTAGTGTATACAAGTGAACACTTTCAAACGAGTTTTCTGACAGTTCTGTAGCTAAGCCCGGATCCAGAGTCTTAATCAATAAATACAATGAGCATGATACAATTAGTTATTATTAGCTGCTCTGTGTGCCAAAGACCTGTTTTCATTAAATAAATCATGAAGTTCTGAAATTCTTAGACTGCTATTAAGCTATCATGTGAACTATACTTCGAAATATGTATATATGAAAAAAATAACTTTTACTGCCAATTTACCATATTGTATAGATGACACATTGCTGCTGGTTGATGTTTTATCATATTTTTGTCTTAATTGTTTAACATTCTGTAAAACCGTTTAGCAGAGCTTATTATCATTTGTCTTATTCGAATGTTTGATTTTATGTTTGGACTAAGTAAAGCATTAAAGAAATAGAAACTGTTGTTGTACTCCCAATACATATTCAATTCTGCCACCTGCTGGCATAGAGGGCAAATGGTTTGAGAATTAGATTTTACCTGGCTGTGACATTTAGTCAGGATAGACAGACAGACAGATAGATAGATACTTCACTTTATTCTGCACTTTTATTACAACTACATTTTATTTAGTAGATGACAGGTAGTTGAAGATGAAAGAACTTAGTAGGAAAGGTATGATTTTTGGTGTAAAAAAAAAAGAAAAGAACTGTTGTAGGAATGATTAACAAAGAAACAGGTAAAAACAAAACATCAGCATACAGAAGATACATGTGTGAATTGAACCAAAGATAAATGGAACATCAAACAGATAATGCCATTTTCTCATGCAAAAAACAAAACAAAATGCTGTATATTACATTAAAATACAGCATTTGATATCTCATGATTTCACATAGTATGGCCATCTCCACAAAACCACGCAGTTGGATAATTTCCACTGATACAGTGGCAATGTTCATCAGTGGTATTCAAACCCCAATCACACATCCTCCACTTCCTCCAGTTTATGCTCCACTATCACTTCGTGACCGTGGAATTTAAAATATCCCAAGAACTTCTTTTTCTGAAGCATCAATGGGAACCACATGACGTCATCTGCCCACATCTGGCTGAAAGGTATTTTATCTGTGTCAAACCACTGTGGCCTCATCTCTGAAAGAGAAAACAAACCTCTTCAGTCGCATGTTATTAGACCTTCTGTCTCAGTATGTGTCTCACAAACTGGATCATTAAGTGATGTGGCGCTGTATTACCGTCTGATTCGGTTGGCTCTCCTTTATAGGTGTCAGCTCTAAAAATGTGGACATCCAGCAGTTCTGTTTCCCCAATAAACTCAAATTTGATATTTCCAATCTTGTGGAGGGTGTCAACGGTAAGGCCACTTTCCTCTAGCAGCTCCCTGTCACATAAAATGGCATTTTATTTTAGCTGGAAAACCAATAAAAGCAGGGCAGATTGAACATGGCCAAATGCTGGCACCATTGTTAAGTTCGACAGACAAGTAAATAATATAAAACATTCTCAGCATTACAAGGTTCAAATTGTTTAACTTTCATCTCTAGCTTCAATAAAGTGAAGAGATAGTGGAAGAATATAGCTTTTTTAAAAGTTAAACATAAAACATGGTAATTTACATTTGTGTAAGAAAAAAAAAATCTAATATACATATTAAATTCATACATATATACATTCATATTCATAAATCTCTACTCTTGGCACCAGAAAGATAATTCTTAATGCTTTTACACCTGAAAACAATTGCTATGATTCAGTATCGGAACTGTAAGACAATGACATTAACCAAAAGTTGGCCAAACGTCCAATTTTCTTGTCCCTGGAAGTGTTTTACAGCATTTTCAAAACACCCCGTAAAGACACTGCAAAAAACATAACCTCCAAGAGCACAACTAAATGTCTGGGTAACACTTTACAATAAGGTTCATTAGTTAACTACTTTAGTTAACATGAACTAAGCATGAACAATACTTCTACAGCATTTATTAATCTTAGTGGGGGAATTTTACCCCCCGGAACTCGATTTTTAACCGCGACTGGGCGGGTTTTCTTGTGAAAACCTGGCAACCCCGGACTCACCGTCTGGCCGCCTGCTCTATGGTCTCTCCTGGCTGATTTATTAATCTTAGTTCATGTTAATTTCAACATTAACTAATGCATTATTAAAATCAAAGGTTGTGCTTGTTAACATTAGTGAATGCACTGTGAATTAACATGAACTAACAATGAACGACTGTATTTTCATAAACTAACATTAACAAAGATGAATAAATACTGTAATAAATGTATTTTTCATTGCTTGTTCATGTTAGTTAATACATTACCTAACATTAACTAATGGAACCTTATTATAAAGTGTTACCAATGTCTGTTATATAAAATTGTATTCATCATATGTTCTCTTATTTATGTTACGTTTGTAAATTTTTAGTTTTTTTGTAAATTCATAAACTTTGGACATCCAGCAGTTCTGTTTCCCCAATAAACTCAAATTTGATATTTCCAATCTTGTGGAGGGTGTCAACGGTAAGGCCACTTTCCTCTAGCAGCTCCCTGTCACATAAAATGGCATTTTATTTTAGCTGGAAAACCAATAAAAGCAGGGCAGATTGAACATGGCCAAATGCTGGCACCATTGTTAAGTTCGACAGACAAGTAAATAATATAAAACATTCTCAGCATTACAAGGTTCAAATTGTTTAACTTTCATCTCTAGCTTCAATAAAGTGAAGAGATAGTGGAAGAATATAGCTTTTTTAAAAGTTAAACATAAAACATGGTAATTTACATTTGTGTAAGAAAAAAAAAATCTAATATACATATTAAATTCATACATATATACATTCATATTCATAAATCTCTACTCTTGGCACCAGAAAGATAATTCTTAATGCTTTTACACCTGAAAACAATTGCTATGATTCAGTATCGGAACTGTAAGACAATGACATTAACCAAAAGTTGGCCAAACGTCCAATTTTCTTGTCCCTGGAAGTGTTTTACAGCATTTTCAAAACACCCCGTAAAGACACTGCAAAAAACATAACCTCCAAGAGCACAACTAAATGTCTGGGTAACACTTTACAATAAGGTTCATTAGTTAACTACTTTAGTTAACATGAACTAAGCATGAACAATACTTCTACAGCATTTATTAATCTTAGTTCATGTTAATTTCAACATTAACTAATGCATTATTAAAATCAAAGGTTGTGCTTGTTAACATTAGTGAATGCACTGTGAATTAACATGAACTAACAATGAACGACTGTATTTTCATAAACTAACATTAACAAAGATGAATAAATACTGTAATAAATGTATTTTTCATTGCTTGTTCATGTTAGTTAATACATTACCTAACATTAACTAATGGAACCTTATTATAAAGTGTTACCAATGTCTGTTATATAAAATTGTATTCATCATATGTTCTCTTATTTATGTTACGTTTGTAAATTTTTAGTTTTTTTGTAAATTCATAAACTTGTTATAATATTGTTTTGATGCAATGGCTGCTATGATTTTTGGTGAATTATAGTAAAAACAGTTAGAGTCAGTTTCACCTGCAGTGCAAACATGATAATAACTATTAATTATAAGAAGATTATATGCTCATTAAAATAAATAAATAATTAAATTATATTTTTACCACTAAATTAGAAATGTCCCCATTTCCCATTTCAGAAATGGTCTCCATGTAGTAACCAGGGTTATTATTGTTAACTCAAATGGAAACCATTCAAAAAACAAAAATTAAAGCGTGACAAAAAACACTCAACAAAATCACCAACTAAACCTTAAAATGAAAAAATCTAATTCAAAATATTAACAAAAACTTTAACTGAAACTAACTGTTAAAACCGTTAAATAAAAAACTGATATTAACACCTTGGGGTTAAAAAAAAAAAGTTGGCAACAGTAACTGTACGGTTTCAAATGTCACGTGCGTGAATGGCTGCTAGGCTAGACTCACCCAGTGTTGCCAAGTCCGCGGTTTTTCCGCGGAATTTGCCTAATTTAACACTGTTGCCCGGGTTGTTTTTCATGTCCGCGGTTTGAAGCGACTCCAATAACATGATATTTAGCCTCTGTAACGCGAATTTTAGCAGAGGAACCCCGCCAAAAAAAAGGGGGAATTTTACCCCCCGGAACTCGATTTTTAACCGCGACTGGGCGGGTTTTCTTGTGAAAACCTGGCAACCCCGGACTCACCGTCTGGCCGCCTGCTCTATGGTCTCTCCTGGCTGGACTTTCCCTCCAAACCCATTCCATTTGCCAGCTCCAAAGCCTCTTTTCTTCATGCCCAACAACACCCGGCCGGGCTGCACCACCAGCACCAGGGTCAGCAGTTTATTAGTCAACATCTCCCTATAAGTTACATAAATATAGTGCCTTTAATGGACTTCCTTTAAATTGACGCTCATCTCCATTATACTGACAGTATGTTTTGACTTTATCTGCATTCAAAACAGAATTAACTTTTCTTTACAGTCTATAAGCATCAAGCGACAAATAATAATCGATCAGATAATCAACGATTAATATAAATCAGTACAGTGTGGCATCCTTGTATGCATTTAAATAAAACTGTTCACATCACAGTTACTTCTATCCAAATAATTAGCTTACTTTGTCCAACGTAATAAGTAGAGACGAAAAATGTAATCACATATTCCGTTTAAAAATCAGATGCGTCAATATGCAGATATTTGGGTCTCAGATGAATGAATCGGTCTTGTTCCCGCGTGTTGCTCGCAGTCAGATGATCACATGGAGGCTTCATATTGACAACAGTGAATTTAGTCATAATACTGATTGACATATTATTCAGCTTGTTATTTATCCAAATGCAACACATGGTTTACAGATCTGCGAAAATATATGAACTCAACCAGAGCTGGTTGTACGTGTGCAACAGTGAAATGTTCTCGATGGGAAAAGCGACTCATTTCTGTGAATCGGTTCTTTCGAACAGAACTAAACGAACTAAAAAAAATCAGTTACATAAATCGGCTAAAAGTTTTTCTAAATGTTTTAGCCAAACGGTAAACATATTTCAAGTACGCTGTATTTATAACATGTTTGTTTTATGTCTAAAGGTTATTTATTATTCCTCATTTCGCCTCATGTAAATCAGTGAAAAGATCCGACTCAAAAGAACGAGTCATTGAATCATAATTCGGAGTGTGCACCTGTCAAATATTCTCGACGGATACCGAAAGCAATCATTAAACAGAAAAACTCAAATATGACCGTCTATAACAGTGAAATGGTCACTAACTGATATATACATAAATCCATTTAATCTAATTAATAATATATCATACAGACAAATAAAGCACAAAAATGCGTAATTAAATGATTAGAAAGACTTTGCACGTCTTTGATATCACGAGGACACCATAGACGCCCATGTGTCTCCTTGTTTTCATGTACTTAAGATCTAAATGTAATCTCTCCAGATCACTTCTTTGTAAATGATGTGGAAATGTATCCAAAGGTCGTGCATTCACGTGTCAGCGGTCTCTCTAAAGAAGACGCCTGTGCATATGAAGGGGAAGAGTGCTGCCGAGCAGAGATGGCTGCTGCGGCAGATCAGTGACCCTTTCGTTAAAGCTGCTCACGCACAGAATTACCGCTGTAGAAGTGCCTTTAAACTGATCGAGATAGATGACAAATACAGACTTCTCAAACCTGGTTTGAGTGTCATAGATTGTGGTGCTGCTCCTGGTGCATGGAGTCAAGTCGCAGTCCAGAGAGTCAACTCAACAGCTGCTGAAAACATCACATCATGAGGTCTATGCATGCCATCTTAGGATACATACACTACAGCTAAAACGTTTTGTTTGTTTTGAAAGAAATGAATAGTTTTTGTTCAGCAAGGATGCATTCAATTGATCCAAAGTGACAGTAAAGACACTTATTTGTACAAATAAATGCTGTTTTCAAATTCAGCTTTGCATCACAGGAACAAATTACATTTTAAAATATATTCTAATTTAAAACAGATATTTTAAAGAACAGTATATTCCTGTTTTTACTCGAGTTTTTGATCTAATAAATACGGCCTTTCTAAGCATAAGAGACTTGCTTTTTTCAAAACATAAAACAAAAATCTTACTGACTTTTGAATTGTGTAGAACGCACATGTTACCAGTCAAACCTTTTGAATACACCTACTTTATCATTATATTCTGTAGTTATTATTTAAAATTTTAGAGTAATGGTAAAGTCATTAAGATTATGAACTGCCACACATGTAAGTATGAGAATCTGTAGTGAAAAAAAAATATATATATATATTACATGCATCCTGTACACTTGTGTCTTTTCTTAACTATCCAACCCAATCATTATTATTATTATTAATCATAATAATATTGATATTATTATTAACATTATTGAAAACATAAAACAAAAATCTTACTGACTTTTGAATTGTGTAGAACGCACATGTTACCAGTCAAACCTTTTGAATACACCTACTTTATCATTATATTCTGTAGTTATTATTTAAAATTTTAGAGTAATGGTAAAGTCATTAAGATTATGAACTGCCACACATGTAAGTATGAGAATCTGTAGTGAAAAAAAAAAAATATATATATATTACATGCATCCTGTACACTTGTGTCTTTTCTTAACTATCCAACCCAATCATTATTATTATTATTAATCATAATAATATTGATATTATTATTAACATTATTTTGAAGTAATTCAAACATAGGTACAATTTATACATGTCTACAGAACTAATATCAAGCATATATGAGCATCCACTTTTTAAGATTTAGATAGATAGATAGATAGATAGATAGATAGATACTCATATTTATAACCTATAACTCTTATGTTAAATATTGGTTTAGGTGTCAGTTTTTTCATAGCTGATGAGGATATGAACAACATACCTTTGTTCATTCCAGGTGTGGATCTTCCTAAAGGAAGCGTAATAGGAATAGACATACTACACATCACCCCTTTGGATGGAGCTCAGTTGCTGTCCAATCATGACATCACTGAGCCCTCAACTCACATGGTGCTGGAGAGGCTCCTCCCTGAAGCTCGAGCAGATGTCATCCTCAGTGACATGGCCCCCAATGCCAGTGGGCTCAGGGAACTGGATCATGAAAGATTGGTCACCATGTGTCTATCAGTGTTGGACTTAGCTGACAAGGTTTTGCGCCCCGGGGGCTCTTTGATTTGTAAATACTGGGATGGAGCTTTGGCCCGTAAGCTCCAGCAGAGGCTTTCCTCAATGTTTCAAAATGTAAGAACTGTAAAACCAAGAGCAAGCAGGAAGGAGTCAGCAGAGCTTTTCTGTCTGGCGAGGATGTTCAAAATGATATAGGATGAAGTCTTTTTCATGCAAATTTATTTTTAATATATTATATTTTATGTCTATATATATATTTTATAAAAGAAAATAGTTTTGTTCCTATTATGTATTAAAAATAAATAAAGAAAGAAACCAAAAACTTGCCTGCAACAAGATTCAGTGCATTAGAAACCAGAAACTCAATACAGACCTTGGATATAAATGCTACAGCAGAATAATTCGATTCAGGTGTTAAATATATCATTATGTTGAGTCAGATTTGCATATGCTTTCTGCAGTGTTAAAATGGTTATTTCAAATCATTTTATAAAGACATGATGGGCATGCATCTAAATAGCTTTTTAGTGAGTAATACATAATTATAAAGGGGAAGTCGTGGCCTAATGGTTAGAGAGTCGGACTCGTAACCTAAAGGTTGCAGGTTCGAGTCTTGTACCGGCAGGGATTGTAGGTGGGGGGAGTGAATGTACAGCTCTCTCTCCCACCTTCAATACCATGACTGAGGTGCCCTTGAGCAAGGCACCGAATCCCCGGGTGCCGCAGCAAAAATGGCTGCCCACTGCTCCGTGTGTGTGTTCACTGCTGTGTGTGTGCACTTAGGATGGGATAAAAGCAGAGCACTAATTCTGAGTATGGGTCACCATACTTGGCCACATGTCACTTCACTCACTCACTTATAATGTATTTTTTGTTTCCTTCTGTTAATAATTAAATCCCCACAAAAGCACAGAGTATAATTTAAAAAAAGGAGAAATATTTACTTGTATATGATTTGATGGATTAGATCAGTGGTTCAGAAACGGTGGTCTGTGAAGGATTCCAAGTGAGATTAAATAAATTATAAAACAATTATAATTGACATAAAAGCACCAATTCATAACAATGAATTAATAGATTGTAACAATAATAATTTAAGTTTGTGTTCCCTTCGATAGACCTTAGTCAGGGTAGCGGCATATTTGATTTTTTAAAGAATTTAAATATTTAACAATCTAATAGGTTATAAATGACTATCTATCCATCCATCCATCCATCCCACCCACCTGTCGCAAAAAGTCAGTGACTTCTCTTACAAAACGTAATTTTTTTCAGTGTAAACTCTAAAAATAGTTCAATCCAAAAGTATTGTTTAGTGTAAAACATGTTGAAGATTAGCCGATAGGCTGTCGATTCATTAAATGATAAGCTGTTTCCTCTAAAAAGCTGTTTATTCAGCGTAGTAATGCCTCTCCTCCATTGACATCCGTTCAAAAAAAAAAAAAGGCCTATGGTCTCCTTTCCCACGTACTGCCAAAGTTGAAGCTGATTTTAAAGCTTAATTTGTATGATTTTTAAATATTTTCAGTCATTAAGGCAGCCTAATGGGCCTCGGCGCTCTGGTTCACTATCCTAATGAGATTGGGATGTTAGCTACCCTGCAATTTAGTTTTTACTCTTGAAGAGTTCCGCCACCTAAAAAAGTGCAAGAAACGCTGGATTGGAAGATAGTCAGCTTGTCAGAAGATGGCGCTCTTGAGTTGTCAGCGTGAAAGCAGCAGACTAATATTTGGACTCGGACTCTCTCACACACACCCCAGCAGTGTGAAGAGACAGCGTAGACCGGCTGTTACTGGGGACATTTTATTCCAGACCGTTTGAGAGTCGAGTGCTCAGGAGTTAAAAATCCAGCATTGTCAATTGCATTTTAGCAAACTCTTGAAGTGTGGCTTATTTGACAACACTTTAATTTTGCTTTTCCCTAACCGGAAAGCTAAATTGTTTACGCAATACCGAAAATCAGTTTTTCTAGCTGTGTGGAAACTAAGATGCAATCATTCTCTCATTATAAGCCGAGGAGCTGCAGAGAGGATGGATACGTGTCTTATAGACAGTATGACTAATGAGAATCCTTTGTCCCTGTAGCAATGCAGTCTAGCAGATATTAGCCTGACACATTATTATCTCAGACACTCGCTTTCTACAGTCCAGCTGTGAATGACATCCAGCTTGTGCTGCATGGAGAGTTTAGACCTAACCTTTGGTAATATGCGGAATAGAAACATTAGAGATAATAAAATGGGGTTTAATGATTCATAGAGGTTAGATCAGAGTACATTTATCACTGAAGCCTCATAGAGTTTTATGGTTATACACTGCTTTGCCAATAATGCTAGAACTCCTCAAACTTTTAAGTATAGCTCAAACTGTAGGCTGCAGGCTTGATTTGAAAGCACTAGAAAAAGAATGTCAGGTTCGACTCTGGATTGCTCTAATCTCAAGCTCAGGGAATCTTCAGCTGAGAGACTCAAACATACCTAAATGAATTCTGCCTGCAGATCTGGCGCTTTCATATTCGACTGAGCTACAGTATGGAAATTCTTGCAACCGCACTCTTTAATCTGAGCTCCTGTGTCAGCAACATGTTTAATGTACTGTATGCCGCTTCGGTCAATTTGAATGCTGTGGTTTTTGAACGCTCTGACGTGTATCAAAGGCGTAGGCT